ACAAATAATGATTACAAAAAAATGCAAAAAATAAATTAAAAAATATATAAAATATATTTTAAGATCATGTTTAATCATCTGATTCGTCTGTACATTGCTGTTTTAGTCTGTGTTCTTCTAGTGTCTACAGTGTGCGCCTATTCAGCTGTTTAGAGCCATGTGGGACAAAACCCGATCATGCCCCTCCCTCTCACTGTCTAAGTGAACGGTGACTGTAAAAACTACACTGCGCATGCTCAGAATATTTTCCTATTTAATGTGTGTGGCAAAAAAATAATGACCATAGGGGCACTGAGCTGCCATCCCCACCATATGTCATCTCACATAATTCAGAGCTGATTGGCTGTAAGTACGTGTGCCGCGAAAAGTGTGGTGTGTGAAGAGGAGATGAGAGAGGTGCAGTGACGCGTCCTATAACCCGGAAGTAAGCTGCGCATGGCTTCCCTCAACAAAAAAACAATGACATTTCTCCATAGGATTTTAGAAAATAGCTCGAAATAAGATCTGTGGGGAACTTACCTGTTAGATAAATGCACGTTTTTTTCAGCCGGATAATATCCACATGTCTACCATACTTTTATAATTTTCTAATCATAAATCTATCGATTAGATTTATGATAGACTTTTGAAACTACAAGAAGATAATGAGGACTTTTACAAAAAAGTAATAGAGATTTTTGTCCAGAGGGATAGGCAAATGGACTTCATCTTCAAGTCAAGGTAAGACCGCAATTTTATTGAAAATGGGATCTTACTAAGAGAGAAGAAGTGAATATTTAAATGATAAAATTACATTTTTTTGGGTATCCTTTTGTTGAACTGTCTGTTTAATATCAGACAAAAAAAGCTTTTGAAAATAATATTACATTTTGATTTAGGTCAAAATATAATATTTGTAAACCTGAAGAGTCAGAGCCAGTGCCTCACCAGCCATGAACCTCACTGCACGTTGTGACGGCCCCTAGGCCTTAGACTCAGGTCCCTGGTTAGAGGTTGAGGGAAAATGAGTAAGGGTTCTTTTGGGGGAAAAAATGAAAATGCCTTAATTGCTGTAATGCACTGTTACACTTTTTTCATGTGAATACAAATATTTAAAAAAAAAAGAAGACAAACAAGATCAAGAATAAGTTAATAGATTTCTATCTTTTTCCAAAAGAAAGAAAGAAATCACCATTTGAAATGTCATTGCAGCTCTGAAGTTAAGAGGTAGAGCACATTATGAACTCCATTCTGAGGAAAAATATGAAAGATTAAAAAAATGTTAAAGGCAATCAGCTTATGATGTAATCATACAGTACCTGAGTCAATGCGGGCCTGTCTGCGAGCGGCACATTCCTCAATACGAAGTTTTGGAATGCCCTCTGCCACAGCTTTGGCCATGCCTCCCACCTCTTCAATTTCTTGAATGAACTGTACAAAGGAAAACACAGCTTGTTAAAAGGGTGACTCAATGATGATGGATTACTTCTAATTTAGTCATTAGGTGTATATAACGCTTGGGTTTTCAACAGGAAACAGAAAAGAGTTAAATATTTTCCATATTTCGCCATGACAAACCTTTAAGGCTGTGTTATAGACGTCATCCGTGAGAGACTCCATCATGTGCGAGCCCCCCCAAGGATCGGCGACTTTGGGGATGCCCGACTCTTCCTGGATGATGATCTGAGTGTTCCTGGCAATGCGAGCGCTCTTTACTGTGGGCAGTCCCAGAGCTTCATCGAATGAGTTGGTATGGAGGGACTGGGTCCCACCAAATACAGCCGCCATGGCCTCAATCACCGTACGGACCACATTGTTGTACGGATCCTGAAAGGGAATCCGTACATGGGAAAGTTCTTCATTTCCTTTTCTTCATTTTTGCTATGATTGAGTTGGACATTTTCACGTATACTTACTTGTTCAGTGAGGGACCAGCCTGAGGTCTGGCAATGTGTGCGGAGGAGCAGAGATTTGGTATTCTTGGGCTGGAAGTTCTCTTTAATGAGCGTGGCCCACAACTTCCTGCCTGCCCTCAGCTTGGCGATTTCCATGTAGAAATTCATTCCAATACCCCAGAAGAAAGACAACCTGGCCACACACACACACACACACAGTAAAAATAAATAAATATATTCCCGAGAAATTCTCTACAGCAAAGAAAACCAGTTTTTCTTTTGGGCGCAACACAGCATGAAATAGACCCGCCAGAATTAGAGTACTTAAAGTATTAAGCTTTTTGTTTCATTAGGCTTTATATCTATGCCAGAATCCTAGCAACCAAAAATAGATATGCTTCATTCGATGATAACTATTACAAAAAGCAGATGGAACCAAATAAATCCAAGGTAAGGCAACATAAAATACAGGTTTGGCCCTTTTTATAGCCATGTTTGGTTTGTCTGTTCGCAGCTGCTGTGGAAACATGACAGTGCAACATAGTGGATTCTGTGAAAGACGATTGCTTCCCTGTGTAGATATGTCCAACCCCATGGACTGCATCCCAGTCTTAACAGCTGGGAGTAGACATTCTACTCGAGGAATTAGCACACATTAGATCATTTTAGTCAGCTGTTTAGTAGCTAAACATTGTTATCAAAAGATAGGCAGAAACACCTAAATATATTGGAGCCGATCTAGACAAAGAGTCTACTACTTCACAAGTGTGAATAGGAAAGTCAATGTCAGATGAGTAATTTAATGAAAATGGGCATCAACCAGAGCAAAGTAAATGCACAGTCAAAATGGAATGGATCATGACGAATAATCTGTATAATTGTCTTAATAATATGTTTTATAATGTATCAAATAAAACAATAAATAATGCTTTTTAGGGAACTTCAAGTGATACATTATGTGAATATCTATTTTAGGAGCACACAACCTTCAAACAGTTCATTAAAGTTCTCCCACTGTGGTCCAAAAGCATGACGTGACAATCACGATATCTTTGTGCGATTCTAAGGGTAACTGCTGCTTGTGAGTCTGTACAATGAGAGGTAATAGCTTAGGGTGGAAATCCTTCCATTTCAATCAATTTAGTGGCATCTCTATACTGACTCGCAGTGGCTGCCTGTGAACCTCGTCTCTGAAGTCATTACGTGGAGAAAGGTAAGGCGAGACTGGCCCATCAGAAACGTTCCTGAGAATTGCATGCACACGGTCCTCTACCATTATCTCAGTAATTGGAACACGAACAGGAAATAATGGAAGTTCAAAGCTAGGAACAAGAACTGGACAGAGGGCAGGGATGTTGACTGAAAAGAGTATTATTGTCTACATCAGCTCCAAATTACAGATAATTTAGTTTGAAGTGGATAGAAATTCTACGGATTCAATCAGAATCATATAAAGCATGAACCATGGATAACAGTGGGGAAATAATTGATTAGCTTTTTTCTATCCGTGAAGAGAAGAGTAGCAAATTACGGCAAACATTTTGGACAAAGGGCTTGACCTGACTTTATTCTATTTCCTTAGATACAATATTATATTATATTGTATCTGTATCACACACTGTGTTTGGGTTTAATGGTAAGTTCTTGTATACATTACCCCAGTACCGTTTGATTTTACCAACAGCTTTTCCCTCTGGTGGTTAAATAAATAAAGACGATCATATTTGGTTTGCCATTCAAATGTGGCTCGCATGCTTAGATGTTATGCAATAATCAAACATGCATAGCATCAATATCAATTGAATAAAAAAATACAAATCATGGATAGCAGGGCTAAGTGTTTTGGTATTTAGGAGTGGTGTCATTAAAAGGACATTGAGTTTTTCTAGCTGAGGGGAAATACTGAACTGGGTATTTATTGAGTGGCGGCAAAAGCTCCTGTTTAAAGGGAATAAGTGTAAAGTGGATGCAATCCCTGTCAATTTCAACAAGTAACACACTTTTCATGGTGCTAAGAGCTCAGTCACACTTTGGAGGAAGGTGTTACGGCTGACATCTTGTTTCTCTGGAGTGTTAGCTTGCTTTTTAGTATTTCAATTGATGCAGTTTCCAGCATAATTTAGCTCCATGGGACCTTATTTCGGAAAAAGTATGTATTGAAGTCAATGGCGAGAGAAAGATTATCTTTCGATCCCGTTTGAATTGTGCCACGAATTACAAATATGATGTTTGTCAATTTAAAAGAAAATTTTGCAAGTAAAAAAAATAAATGTGTCGTAAAAATGTGAGGTAACACTTTTTTTTGTGTGAAACCGCTCAATGAACTACATCTCCCGTCTCGCACCACACACCAAGACGGCCGTCACGTTGGCACATTTCACTTCTTTCTTTCAGAATGAGGCGAAAAGTATTAAAAGAGGTGAAAATCACTACAAGTCTGGGCATGTCGAGAGCTGTACATACACAGAAGGGGAGTTAGTCGGTTCATAAGAGCCAGCATGCGGGAACGGGATTCTGGGATTTGTAGTCTTTCCAGTTGCATATTTTCATAGTCTTATATTTCAACAGCTTTACGACAAACTGTGACTTTCTGGACATGGAAATTAATTTTTAAGATTGACAAACATCATATGTGTAATTCGTGGCACAATTCAAACGGGATCGAAAGATAATCTTTCTCTCCCCATTGACTTCAATACATAATTTTCCGAAATAAGGTCCCATGGGTCGGAAGTAGCTAGTGAATTAATTTCAGAAAAAAAAAAGAAAAAGTTTGAGAAACACTGTGCTAGTGGACTGTCAAAGAAAAAAAAATATATATCTAAAAAAAAATTATCAATTTTTTTTTAATTTTCCTTTTTTTTTTTAATTTTCCTTTTTTTTTTGTAATCATCTCGCGACCCCCACTCGGGGTCTCGCGACCCCCACTTTGGGAACCCCTGGTCTAAACGTAGATTCAAAATGCCACTGTGTACATTTTGATGCTTGTAAGGGGATTTTTTTTAAATCCTCAATTTTTATTTCCAAAGAAATGTAGATTCACTGTTAATTTCAAAGAAGGATCCATCTCTTTTAAATGTAATCTTGTCTTTTTTTTGTCCGGTTGGCACATATGCATCCCTTGTGCTTTTTTAAAGAAAATCTAAAAGTAAAGTAAATATTGGTGTACCTGGGGGCGAACTCATCGATGGTTAGGCCCGCTTTCAGACCAGTGCGGCAGTACTCCAGGCCGTTAGCGATGGTGTAGGCTACTTCCAGGATGGCGTCAGCTCCAGCTTCTTGAAGATGGTAGCCACTGATGGATATGGAGTTGAATTTGGGCATGTTCTGAGAACATTTAAGTCATTGAAATCAGTTAAACTCCCAATATGATGACCACCTGACAAGCAGATTACCCAAGTACTTAAGTAACACTTCTTAAATTGTACCTACCTCGGATGTGTAAGCGAAGATGTCTGCGATGGCATGCATGGAAGGCTCTGGGGGGAAAATATAGGTGTTGCGTACCATAAACTCCTTCAAAATATCATTTTGAATCGTGCCAGTAAGTTTTGCTTTGGACACGCCTTGCTCCTCTCCGGTCACGATAAACATCGCCAACACAGGTATAACGGCTCCATTCATTGTCATTGAAACAGACATCTTCTCCAGTGGAATTCCATCAAAGAGCATCTTCATGTCTTCCACTGTGTCTATAGCAACTCCGGCCATGCCAACATCTCCGTGGACTCGTGGGTTGTCGGAGTCATAGCCGCGGTGCGTCGGGAGGTCAAATGCCACGGAAAGACCCTGCTGACCAGCTGAAATAAAAGAGCAGAAGTTGATTAGGGTTAGGGCTGCTTGATTATGGCAAAAATCATAATCTCGATTATTTGGGTCAATAATTGTAATTGCAATTATTAAATGCGATTATTCATTGACTTTGAAAACATCCATTTATTGGAGAAAAAACGTTTGAACAGTAGGTTTTTAACAGTTGATTACCCTGAACTTTAAGTATAATTCAACTGAAAAACCCCAAAAAAAAAGAAAAAAAAAAAGTAATAATAATAAAAAAAAAATAATCGTTTTATTTAGATTGCGTTGTTTTCGTAATCGTTGAAAGCCATAATCGTATTCGCGATTTAAAAATTATTGATTATTTTTTGAGCGCCCTAATTAGGGTCTAATTAGGGGAAATGGACGATACAGAAAAACAAACGAGTCATTAGAATGGAGCTCGTGGAAACATCTAACCAGGACAAAGCAAAAAAAGGGAAGGAAATTAGCCACATGTGAAACAGAGGGGTCTATTTGAAGAAGGCATTACTTAATTTAAAAGGGGATTTAGGTAACATAGCCATATTTTTACTGTTTGGCACAGTGCGGCTCGTTTTTTTAAGTGTCTACAAAGAATTTCATGATTTGGCAGACACAATAACAAACTACTGGCGGTGAAATGGTGAGGAGGATGAACTGACTTTCAACCCTTGCTCAAATAGGTGGTGGGAGGGATTTAAGGCCCCTACACATGGCGGTGTGCGTTGCCGCTTCAACGCTTCTGCCCATTCACTTTGAATGGGGTGACGTCACGCTTTGCCGAACTGCATTGTGGGAGCGAAGCGTAGCTTCAAAAGCGCTGCTCGCTGCAAAAGTTGAACAATGTTCAACTTTTGAAGCTTCGGCGAAAGCGTTAGCCAATCGAATCATATGCCAGTACAATCTCTAGCCAATCAAACCGCGTGCTTGTGTGTCCGGTGAGGGAGATTCATGTGATTGGTTGTTGGTCGAGTTTCCGCCCCCCCCGCGCTGTGTGGACGGGCCGTAAAGGATGAACCAGCAAAAAATGACCTCTACTTTCCCTTTGGGTTATTTTCCAGTGTATCTTAATGAGTGTAGATTTAAATATAAAATGTGTTATATGGTTGACCCTTGACGACCCTCTAGAAGGTTAAATCTCCTCAAGCAGTTTCTGCACACACCCATACGTAAAAATCTGCATGTCGTTTTATGCTTTACATCTTCTTCAATTGATGTTTGTGTATCACCTAACAACTCAATGAATAAATAAACAGCAAGGTCCTAGGAACATGTAACAGCTTCATATGTTGAGTCCAAATGTGTTACAGGAACATGATGTCCACAATTGTGCATTCATTGACAGAAGACTAATACTGCCAATAAAGGATAAAAAAAGTTCAAGGCGACACACTTACCTTTAATGTTATCTCTATAAAACTTGTTGCTCTCTTCCACTGTGCTAAATCCAGCATACTGCCTGATAGTCCAAGGTCTGGAGGTGTACATTGTAGGATAGGGCCCCCTAGTGTAGGGGAAAACTCCTGGCAATTCATCTGGCCTGTCAGTTGAGTCTGCTTTGGTGTACACAGGCTTGATGTTGAGCCCCTCAGGCGTGCGCCACATAAGGTCCTCCGGGTTCTTCCCCTTCAGCTGTTTCTTAGCCAGACTGGCCCATTCAGCATGCAGCTCATCCTGGTCCTGGCGCGGTCGGGAAGTGTGGATCAGAGAGGTGCGTGTGTGTGCTGAGGAGACTGAAGCTCTAACCAGGCGCCGGGCAGCCATCGCTGCACAGGCTCTCTGTGCAGTCAGCATGCTTACTGTGGACACAATTAGATGCACATGGAACACCTGAGAAAGACAAAGAGGAACCGATATGAAGGTGAAAACACTTGTAGAGGTTGCACGGTTTGGGGCTTGAGTAAGTGATGCCAACACACATTGACTTATAAATGCATCCTATTGCAGCTTCTATGGTGATAGTGTTACTAATCATTTACAACTGTGCCATTTTAATGTTGCTTAGCTCCAAAATATGATATTTTCTGGGTTATAGGGCAAATGTGTTTGCTCTACAACTGCAGCATGGTTATAATAAACCCTGCACCATCATATTACAGTGATAATGTTTTTAACAGTTGTTTTGTCTTAATAATAATAATAATAATAATAATAATATGTTCTATAATGTATCAAATAAAACAATAAATAATGCTTTTTAGGGAACTTCAAGTGATACAGTATGTGAATATCTATTTTAGGAGCACACAACCTTCAAACAGTACATTAAAGTTCTCCCACTGTGGTCCAAAGGCATGACGTGACAATCACGATATCTTTGTGCGATTCTAAGGGTAACTGCTGCTTGTGAGTCTGTACAATAAGACTAGAGGTAATAGCTTAGGGTGGAAACCCTTCCATTTCAATCAATTGAGTGGCATCTCTATACTGACTCGCAGTGGCTTATTGTTTTGGTGGAAACTTATATAGACTGAGGTTAAACATTAACATAGCATACTCTAACACAGAAGTTACCTTTACTGCTTTTCTTGTCAGTCACTTATATTTAGTACATGGTAAGGCATGTATAAACGTGATATCGACACTTGACAGAGGACATTGTTGTATCATTTGAAAGCTAACACATTTACTAGTTTAGTATTGTCAACTAGCCTAACTATGACATCATATTTTACAGATGTTAAAAAGTCAAAGGATGAATAAATCTCTATGCAATAATATAACACATATTTAAATGACTAGTACAAAGGCACAACTTGCAATGTTATTGCTGACATAACGTTAAGTAAGCTACACCTGGACTGCTGCGCACAACATGAGCATGGATGTTAGCTTGAACTAGTAGCATTCATCTATGGAACCAAATGGATGTCCGCTCACATAAGACATTTTTTAAGCACGTAACTATATTTATTAGCACACATTTTTACATATTTTAAGAGCATTTGCTGACCTTGCCGTCTGTTGTGCTTTTTCAGAAAGACCTAAGACGTGTGTTCGTCTATCCAATGGAGTTTAACAAGATTAACAGCCAGTCAGCCAATGGGGTGCTACGTTCTATCTGACAACTTTGAACTGCGACACCGGAAGTAAATAATACATCCAAGATAGTTGAATGTCGTAGAGATATGCAATGTCAGCTGTTTGAAGTATATTGCAACCAATGTATTGTTTTATATTTTATAACGTTGATGTGTTTAGATACTACTATCATTCACACAATATACTTCATTATTAGCACTATAAACAACTCAGACTGTGATTTACTGGTACATTTTCATAACATCTGGCATTAGGTGGCAATGTTGCTGCAGCAGCCTCTGTCAAACATGTTATTTTATTCATTTATTCAATGTTTTTATCATCACTCGCTCATAAATCACACACAGGACAAATACTTCTCAACACAATACATGCCATTTTTATTCAAGAGTTGGTCGGTAAATTGTCATATTAGCAACGGATCTCATAGAGTTCTGTAAAGTGTTGGATAGGGAGTGGTTGCAGTCAATGTTTATGAGGGATATCAAATATACTACACATAGCATCATTCAGAGCTTTCAGCAGGACAAACCTTTATCAAAGTGGCAATGCAGACAGTGGTATATAATGCCCAGTTAAGATAAAGAGCAGAAGGTATTTATTTTCAACATTATTATCCTCTGTTGATGAAACTGTAAGGCAGTATATGTTTTGATTGCAAAGTAGTGCTTTTTAATCAGATGACTGATTTCTTCATGGGTTCAACGAAATGTACAACTTGAAATTGAAATGAAACAAAATAGCATATCGGACTAACAAACAAAAACCTACCTGTGGCTGTGGTGTGTGTGTAAAAGTCTTGCATGCTTAGAATGTTCTATCTATTATGACAGAATTGCAATAACAAAGAAGCAGTAAAAACATATAAATATTGAACTAAAGAAGACTGTAAATTTAAAAGAAGAGTAAGTGGATTTTGGGAGGCAGCAGCCGAGTATGGTCTCCCTGTGGAAGCAGGTTGTGGCGAATGCAGCCTCATTAAGCTCCAAATTTGTATTAAACCTCGGGCATCACTCCAGCTTGAGCAGTTCCACGTCGAATATAAGTGTGGCGTTCGGTGGGATGACCCCGGGGTGGCCTGTGGTTCCATAAGCCATATCTGGTGTGCAGGTGATTTTGGCCCTCTGACCCAGGCTCATCTGATGATAAGAAACAAAAAGGGAACAATTACCCTGCATTCTGCTGATTACTTTGTGATGCTGTTTTAAAGCCCTACTCACACTTGCCTTCTTTTGTTTTTTAGCATGTTAACTTATTCAAAAAACAGTGACATTAAATCTGCTAGTGATGAAAAATGAGCACAGCTAACATTGTCTTTATTTGTTTGTTTTAACAGTTCCTCAGGGAAAATCCTACGTCAAACATTTGAAACATTTGCAGTAGTAATTGAAAAAATTCACTAGACATTTCATCTCTGATGAATGACAATATGCAAGGAAACTCTGACATTGAGAAAAGGATTAACTTTGATAGTTTAAAGTGATACTAAAGCAGTACCTTTGAAAACTTGCTAGGTGTCAAAGTTTGTATCACATTTTTGATTTGGGAGGAGTATCACTTTAAAATGATGCTGGATGGCAGATTGACACTCACGTCTCAGATGTCTCCTTTTCTTTATTCTCACAGAACAATACAGGTTGGAAAAGAATAAGCTCAGTAACAAACTGGTTGTTATGATTCCTTTAAACATCACAGATCTAAGTAAAAGCCTTACAATATAACTCGTTTTTTGTGGGTTTTAAATTTCTGCTCTTACCTGTGCTACTCCTTCCTCCCAGCCCTTTATGACCTCAGTCCGACCAATCTTGAATTTAAAAGACTTGTTCCTGTCTCGAGAAGAGTCAAACTTCTTCCCATTCTGCAGCATACCTGCCAAAGAGAGAAGTGAAGCATGTGGTTAAGAAACTACGCATGTTGGTTATCTGATGCAAAATAAACAAAACAAAGCACACATCTGCATAGTTAAATATTCTCATGACTAATGGTACTGTTCCTAACTTTAATTCATTATCGTTTCTTATCACAGTGGGATGAAAGATTAATGCACGCCCTTTCCTCAGTAGCTAATGTTTTGGAAAAGGCATTTTAAGATTGAAGAAATAAAGTGACTCTGGCTCCGGTCTGAGAAATTATTCTGTCGGGGCTTCTTATCAGGATCTTGGGTCTGTTTCAATTACGCAAATGGACAAAGGGAATATGAATCAGGAAGCATTGGCCTGGTTTAGCAGATTATTTTTAAAGTTAACTAGGCCATGGCTTGCCTGTATTCAGACTGCAGGGAGAAAAGGGTAAGAAAGGCGGAGTGGTGCAGGACTCCGCTACTTCAGAGCACTGCCCCACCGTTTGTTCAGACATGATAATAACATTGGAGCCATTACACACTGCTAAAGGCACAGGCCCCACTTCATCAGGCATTTTAACATGCCCTGTTGACTCCCCTTAGCCACTCTCCCTTGAGGGAATCCAAGCTGCCAATGGAAGTAAGGCTGTCTTACTGACACCTCAAGTGAACTTACTGACCACATCAACAAGGCAGTCTATTCATTTCTGTGGACAACTATCTTGGTGGAACAAGCAACTGTAGGCAAACAGTGTTCGAGTTCGGCATATTTAATTATTAATGAAAAATAAATAAAACTCCACTGTTCCCACATGAAGCAATATTTCAACATTATGTGATACACCAAGAACCAAAATAAAAAAATCATTTTACATACATGTAAAAAGACAAATATATGATAGTTTGGCAACATCCTATATTATGCCTACAGTAACTGCCTGGGGGAATACAGTCTAATCTAATTAATTACATTTAAAACAAGTCACGCAACCGGAGTCAAAGTGGCGTCATGCAAAAACTGTCCAGATCACCCACTTGCGTTTTGGAGATTTCGCTCTGGGATAGTCCTTTGATTTATCTGTCCCTGCCGTAATTCAGCAAGTGTGAATACTTGGCATTTAATGTTGTGCGTTAACTGAAGTCATCTCATTATATGAAAGTATGTACTTTACTTCTCCCCTTTCATTCCCCCTAAGCTTAATAGGTCCATCATTTCCAAGAAACACGGTAGCCCAGACATCGGTGTGGTGGGCTCGGGCACCCGAGTTGCAGAGAGGCAAAACCATCTTTCATCAACTGCAGAAAAGAAGGTTCAGTTTCTGGAAGTGGTCGATGCAACTTGGAAGAAAACTCTTATTGGCAATGTTCACAGTTGGGAAGCCACTGAGGAATTACATCCTAGCAGTTGCACAATTAATTATCCTGGTTAGCTGGGGGGTCTGCTTAGAAACTGATGGTGTTAAAGTGAGATATCTTAACACTACTGGTGAAATCTTCTCCATGTATATACTAAAAAGAGTGGCTACTGTTGAAAACTGTAAACCAACTGTATTGGAGGAGGCAGCAACAGGGTTTACAGCAGCACAGTGGCAACTGGCTTAAACCAGTTTGAGAAAGAAAAGCTCAACAAAGGAGAAAACACCACCTGCTAATTTTTTCATGTGAAAACAAATACACAGGAGAATGGTAATCCATTGTGTAATGCATGGGTCTTCAACAGGGGGGGGGATTATTATTTGAACAATTGTTTTTTGTTTTGTCTCAAAATAAACATTAATTTGAACCAAAATATAATAACTTAAGCAAATATATTTCACCCTTTTCATAAAAAAACTAAAACCCATGACTCATTGTAATGTATGACATGTGAGCTAGCTAACCTATGTTTAAGAACTTTGCAGCAACTACCCATAATGGCAAACTAGTATTCTTTTTTAAAGCGTAGTATTGTATGCAACTTAAAGGGTATGTCACATTTGGAGAGCCCTACACATTGTTTTTGCGGCAGTTACACATGCAGCTCAATTGAATACATAGTAGGGGTTCCCCATTTGTATCAGTGCTCCGTTATCACTATTTGGACAGTTTAGCATGGGTGGGGTCTCTGCAAAAATAAAGCAGAGCCCCTCCCTTCCTGCGGCTGACTCCCACACTCTCTCTTCATGAAAGGCTTTCACTTGGTTGCTCCGGCTGGACCTGCACAAATCTGTGGCACACAGGGGTGGGGTTATTTTTACTCAAGTTTACTGTATCCTGTCTCACCCCCAGTCTACGACGCCTGCCAGCAAAACAACCCCCCTTGGCCCAGGTGCGGATGAAATAAGATGCGTGCAAAGCTATCTGTCTGCAACAAACTTAAATGTCTCTAGTTTCACAGCTGCAAGCCCGAAAGATTACAATCTTGTTCATGATTCATTCATATATCAAGTGGCAGATGATTTATGTGTTATTTGGTGTATATAAAATCAGACAAAAAGACGATATACAGCAAATTCAGTGCTGCAGCACAGATCCTTAGGAACTTCTATGAGTTTAAAAGTTGCTTTACCAATCATTGCACATGTTAATGAAGGCAGTCAGTCTGTAATCATTGTAAACAACCGGAGGGTCACTGGTTCAAGTCCAAGAACGGGCCAAGTATTTTGAGTGGATTACTACTTTGAGAGGTGCCTCCAGGGCCCTAAATGTAATTGTGTGCGCATAGCTGTGTACATAACCATGTGTGACAATTACAAACTAAACCCAGTTAAATTAAAATGTCCTGTTTAACATGAGTACATTCTAAACAAGCTACAGGGTGCCCTGGTTCTTCTGTGGACCAGGAGGGTTTGCTGGATAATTATTCATGCACCATAACACCACTGTCCTATTTCTCCTCATATCCCTGGCCCATCTATTCTGTAAGGGACATTGTGCCTCCCCTCTATCGTAAGACAAGCTGTTAAAGGGTCAAACACAAAGGCAACTTCATATAGAATGACGTGGTGTTCCTGCACCAGGGCTCCTGGAAGCCACAATTCAGCAAAAGTTCAAGCTGATTCTGTCTTCATTCAGAAGCTGTATGAACTCTTCTGTTGCTTTCCTTAAAGGCCCTGACACACCAAACTGACACCAAAGAACATGTCCCGACGGACCCGATTGTTGTGTCGCCTCACGTCTCCTGCATCTT